TTTATGTAAACCACTAATTAGTGTTACCTGACATACTTGCCTCTTACTATAAAGGAGAATCAATACCCCAAACTTTAGGAAAAAATGCTAATTTTAAAAGAACCACCAAAAACAATGACTACTGCAGTCCATTTTCTCAAGTAATTTAATTAGGAGAAATAATATTAAAATAACACTTATTTAACATGCTCCAGAATAGATATTGATGATTTTATAAAAACAAAACCACATAACAGAGATGAAAAACAAGTTGTTTCAATGATTCTGGGGGGCTTTCAATAGCAATGGCCCATATATAGTTGTGAGGTGGCTGTGAAACGCAACTGGTTTAATACATACAACGCACATACAAGAGTATCTGATATATAATAAATGCTTAATAAATATTGGTTATTACTACCATTATCATTAGTTCCAGGTGGAAGTAATGCTTACTGCATGGAAAAGAGAAGCAGAAAAAACAACAATGAGATATGAAACTGCATTCTTTTTCTTTCATTTTTCCATCTTCTCTACATTTATATACTCCTGGGACACCACTTTAAGAGTTGCAGTGAAAAGTATTATTTTAAAAGCATTAGTAAATATGCACCCTATCCCTAATCTATAATAATAAAAGTGTAATATGAAAATCAACTGAATGACTGAACAGTGGAACTGTCAGGACAACCACACTAAGACACCCACTGTTGCCAGGTTAGCCAAGGCAGGTGCGATGCAATTGGTCAGGAGCCCAGCCAATACCCACAGAGGGAGGTCCAGGCCAATGGCCAGATGCAATCCATTGGGGACAGTGGGTAGGGGGGACTTCTGTGATCGCCCAAGGAGGGTGGTCCAGGTCACCCCTGCGGAGCAATCAATGGGGGGAGGGGCCCAAAGGAAGAGGGGGGTGTAGTGGTGGACGCTGGCAGCACCAGGCCAAGGTGGGTGTAAGTAGGGGGGCCATGAGGCAGCAGGGGCTGAGAGGGAGCCTGGGCTATGAGGCCCACCCTTGCACAAATTTTGTGTATTGGGCCTCTAGTTATAAGATACTTGAGCGCCCTGGCTTGATTTGGATCAGTGGTTGAGGGTAGGCCCTTTAAGGTTGCGAAAGGCAACCAATGGATGTGTCTCTCCCTCACTCCCTTCCACTCTTTCTAAAAATCAATGGGAAAATATTCTTGGGTGAGGATTAACAACAACAAAAAGATACTTGAGGGAAGAATTAATTTTTTGTATTTCTTCTAAATGTTCCCTATATGGCAAAGTACAATAATATGCACAATGAAAACTCAATAAGTATTAATGTCATAAATTCATATAAGGAAACAATAAGAACAACAAAGCAATAAATACAAATTGTGAGATCTCAAAGCCCATGTCAATATACAATAATTCAAAGACATATAATAGAGTGAAAAAATGAGGTGAAAAGCTTTATTGTTAACCACAAAGAACAGACTACATTCTCCTTGCTCTTCTCTGTGCACAATAATTTAGGAGGAATACTAAAAACACTATGTCTAAAAGAGAACAACTGAGAAACAGTTCAGGAACTGAGATGCTCAGACCGTCTGTAGAACAGAGAGGGTTTGGTTTGCCCTCCTGCTCTCATCCTCAACTTTCAGCAATGAGAAAAAGGCATCCTATGGAAAATGATTAAAGATTTCTCTCTTGTCCAGAGGCAACTATCAAAAGATGGTCACAAAAGAGATCAAGACTTCTCTCAATTCAAAAACTTAATAGCTTTCTTCTAAGCCAAAGATATTGAGAAAGCTTAGTTATGAAAGTATTCAAGCAAGGGCTGGAAAACAGCTTGCCAAGGACTCTGTGGAAAACATCCAAGCAGGGGTAATCAATTAGAATTTTAAGTTTCCATACAACTCTGTAACTACATCAATGAGTATTACTGAATATTGCTCCTGGAAGGACACTGTCCTAGACCTATAATAAATACAAGACAACAGAGAGAAACATACAAAGATCTCTGCTGCCAAGAAATGTATAATATATAAAATGTATATTACAGTTTGAGACCATAACAGACATCACAAAGTATTATTTGTTCATTGCCAAATGAATTCTATTCACATACAAAGGTCTTCTAAGAAGGAGAAATCCCTAAAGTTAAAGTTTTCAGAAAGCGCTTTTTAGAATAAAGGTATGAGATACTTGGGGGGGAGGGAGGGAAGAAGAATGTGTCTGAAAGTTAGAGAGAAGTAGGAAAGAGAGAATAGCAGAGATAGAAATGAAAAGCAAGTTAGAAACCTGTTTGGCTGCATTAAAAACTTGTTTCATAGAAGAAGAGCTAAGCTGAAAGGGCAGGTTGTGGCTAGAATCTAACTGTACTGGGCCTTGAATATCAAACTAAGTAGTTTCAAATTTATCCTGCATACAGCAACTATAGCAACTTCTGAACTCTGTTGTAGCCATAGACAATGGTAAATAATTAGTACATTGCGGGGATGGGGGGAGGTTGAAAGGGGTGGAGGTGAGATAATCATGGCTACATTACAAAAAAAAAAAAAAACAAAAAAAACCAAAAAACTGAATTACTATGCTGAAATTTGAATTTCACGTATTCCATATGTTACAGAGTATACTTTTGATTTTTTTTCAACAATTTGAAAAGGTAAGAATCATTCTTAACACAGAGGCCCTACAAAAACAGGCTGTGGGCTGGATTTGGCCCATGGGCTCGAGTTTGTCAAGCCCTGTACTGCACTAAGCTGTCTTCTTCAGCAACCCTCTTAGGTACATTTGTCCTTGAGCTTCAGGGACCAGAATAATATATTACTCATTCAACATGCATGAATGCACACACTTACCCAAAATCTAAATCTAGTAGGGGTCTGAGGTTCTCTATACAAAGGTCCTCAAAAAACTTAATAACAACAAGAATTCTCTAATTCGCCATTAGAACAAAAGAAATTTTTAAATTTTGTTATTTTCACATAGTAAGTATTTAAGAGAGTTACAAGCTATTCTTATAGAGCCTCTTTGATACTTGGCGGGATCTGTAAAATAGAGTATAATCCAAGGGACTGTCTGTTCTAGCCTTACTTCTGTCATTTACTCATTATGTGACCCTGAACAAGTCAGTCTCAATCCTCTGGCCCGAATTTTTTCATCTATAAAGTGAAGCGGTGTAAGCTACTGGAGGATCACTGTGCTCTTTCAGCTTTAGCACTGTATGGTTCTACTCCTATTTGAAAAGAACCAGCGAGGAGATGACAAACACCAGACAAAAGTGATAATTGAGGACACAGAATAGGAGAGAAAGGCATTGACTAAATGAGTGGGCAAACAGGATAAACAGGTAGAAAAAGAGACCAACAAAGTATAGTTTTACTATAATCAAAGAATGCATTCCTTTTAAGTAAAAAATGCATAAAAAAATAAATAGAAGCAAGAAAAATTCAAGGAATATGGCCATAAAAAAAACAACAACAAAAAAACCCCGAACTAATTAGCTATCTAAAATAAAAAAGGCAAGGAGTTCAAATGACAGTCTTAAGATCCGAGAGTACTGTGCATGCTTCCAGAAATCATGAGATGAACCAGTGTAAAAGAAAAGACTGGAGTGTAGGTAACAGAAAATAAAGGCACATGGTCCAGAAAAAGTAGGAAAAAAAGTTGGGGTGAACTTGAAGCCTCAGTAAGGGAGTTAGTCTTAAAGAAGAGGCATTTTTTTTTTTTTTTTTTTTTTTACCTTAAAATCCAAAAAGGGGGGAGGGGAGAGAAAGCATTACAATACCAGTTTTCATGTTTTCTATACATCACATTTTAGGGAAATAAATCTAACGTTGGCTTTTCTTAAAGCAGAATTCCACCTATATTATACTTTCTAATGGCCACAAAATTAGGAAAACTATTTGTTACAGGTACATAATTTCAACATCACCAGAGCCTGCTTTAAGTGGCAACAAATTGCTACAAAGCAACTTAAAAAGGCAAAAAGGATTTTTTTTTTTTTTAATGAACGTTACTTATAAATACTAAGATCCTACTGCGGAGCTTTTCAACAGACACCTGCCTCTATGGAAGAATATGGGAAATAAACACATCCAACGCTGTAGGCTGAAGTTTCACCAGTTAAAAAACATTACCTTTGTATACGCTGAAACTATGTATAAAGCCAACAGAGATACTATTTATACGTTTGAAAATTCCCTGACCAGATGCATTCATTTTCGACTACTCAGGAGCAGCCAAGAATTCGAGGCTTCTCCTATCACCCGCTTTTAAGAATTTAAGAAGTCACCCCAAACTGGCAAACACACCCCAACTTTAGCCAAAAAGTAGTCCAGCTCCCCATATGGCAATGGTGACCTCCCACACCTTCCCGTGAAGTCACATTCACTTACTTTGCCGGGATCTCCCCGGGCCCCGTGCGGACAGGCCAATCGCACCACCAAGAACCAGCAAGCAGTTCGCAAAAGTCTTAGGTTAGCTCTGCCCTCCCACCGGTCCCCAGTCCGGGGCGGGGGGAGGGTGTCGATTTCACAAGCCCTGAAAGTTATCCACCGCCCGCCACTGTCAAAACCAGAAACACCGTCAACCCCGGCGGGCCCATCAAGAACTGTTTCAGCATTTTATTTTTTATTTTTTTTATTTTCTTTGAAATGACCCATCTTGGCTCGACAGGTTCCATAAGTACTTCTTAAAAGGCCACCTTCTCGCCCCAAAAGCGGGACCTGATTCCTTCCAGTTCGCTCCTTTATTTGTCTAGCCCCACACACCTCGAGGGGGTGGGTGAGGGTGGGGAGAGGTCTCTACTTCTTAGGCCCCCGGGGTCCAGTCGGGTCCCTAACTGCTCGCCGCCCTTACCAGGCCCCCCACCCTCCTCCCCGCCTCCCACCACCCCAACACCCCTCCTCCCGGCCCCACACCCGGCCCCGCACACGAGCTGGGCCTGCACGGAGGCTGGGCCCGCAGCCCGCCCCTCGCCCGCCCGGGCCTGCGCTGCTGCCTCCAGCGGCCGCAGGCCTCGGGCCTAGCCTCCTCCGCGGGCCCCTCACCTCTTTCGGGACCAGTTGGTTCTCCTCGCCGGGCACCATCGCTCAGACTCCGGCCGCTCCTCTCCGCCCTGCCGGGGAGGGGGGAGTGGGGAGGTGCGGCGGCTCAGGAGAGAACGGCGGCAGGCATCCTCCTCGCCGCCCGCGCTCCTGCCGCCGCGGAGGCCTCACCCTGGGCCTGACACCAGCGCGCAGAGACCGACCCACCGCTCGGCTGCCGCCGCCGCCGCCGTCGCCGTCGCCGGAGTTGTCGGCCCCTCCCCCCGCCCGCGGCTATCAATGGAAAAATGGCGGCGGCCGCTCTCGCGAGAATTCGGGCCGCGGGGCTCCGCCGAGCCCGGCGCCTGGCGCCCGAGGTGATGAGGCAGCTGTCGCTCGTGTTTAACGACTTCGGGTCTTCCTCGGCCCCGAGGGGAACCCAATGGGAGGAGCGGCCGCCATGCCGGTGCTTTTCCGGAGAGGGATTCTGGGCCGTCCACCTCGGGACTCCCTCGGCGGGCGGCAGAGGAGGGGCCAGGCCGCCGAGTCCTCCCTGCCCGCCGGGCAGACCCTGGCGCCTCAGGCCCTTTCCTTCCCCGATCGCACCTCCCGTACCGCTCTCCGGGCCGGAGGGAAAGGCGCCCGAACTTCACCCCCTCCACTTCGGCAGGGAAGAGAAGGCACCCCGGGCTAACCCCACCTCCGCCCGCACCACGGCCCGAAGCAGAAAGGGCCGTTTTCTTTCCCCCTCTCCCTACCCTCCCGGCGGCCAGGCTAGAGGGGCAACGGGCCAGCTCCTGGTAGGGGAGGCCGCAGCCCTGGCCTCAGAGCAGTGGGGTCACCCCCCAACCACACACACACACACACACACACACACACACACTCCCCTCTGTCACCCTCCCCCCCCACACACACACCTTCATTACAGCTGCATTCCCCTGCAGCCTTCAAAGGTACTTCCTTCTGCAACAGGTTCACGCCTGGGACTGAAATGGCTTCAGGGAGTAGGGCTGCAGCTTGAACCTATGATCCTCTTTTTAAATGTTTTTTTTTTTTTTGAGGACTTTCATCTCCTCTAGCAGTAAGCATTGTGCAATAGTTATTTTTCCAAATCCTCCTCATTCCTCAAAACTTTCCTTTTATTAGCCAACGTCACGCCAATAGATTTAATTCTTTAAACACACACACACACACACACACACAACTTTCTTTATGAAGACTGAGTGGGATGTCAGTCAGGAAAACTCCCGTAGACACAATGACTTGACAGCACGCTGAGATAATAGAAGCCTGCCTTGTTCCTAACACCCACCGCGTAAACTACCTCTATCTGTGCTCCCCCAAACTGCTTTTGATTGCACTCTTTTTTTTTTTATTATTATTGATTTTTACAGAGAGGAAGAGAGAGGGATAGAGATTTAGAAACATCGATGAGAGAGAATCATCGATCAGCCGCCTCTTGCACATCCCCTACTGAGGATGTGCCTGCAACCAAGGTACATGCCCTTGACCAGAATCGAACCTGGGACCTTTCAGTCTTAGACCAACACTATCCACTGAGCAAAACCAGTTTCAGCTGCACTCTATTACCAAACAGAAAGGGGAGGGGGGGGGGAGAAAGTCTATATACCGTACTTATGTAAGTCACCTACATATCCTGTTGGGTAAGATACAAAACATTTTTTTTTAATTTAAAAAGGATAAAATAAAGATGAAATAAACATGTAAAGTAACTGTAAGAGTTATTTTTAGATTAATAGTAGACAATCCTTTCTACTCTCAGTAAAAATATCTAGTGAAAGCAATATGATTGACTAGGTTTCCATGTTTGTAAAAATCTTTAATATCTTGTGAAAATTATTGAAGTGTCTGATTCAATCTTCAGATTATTTCTGTACTCCATTTTAATGGCCTTCCTGAGCTGAAAAAGATAACTCACAAAGATATGTAGATCCTAATGGAAAAAGTACATCTTTAGCGGCTCTTTCTAATGTGTTTCCATTTTTATCACTTCCATCCACCAAACATGGAAAGTTTTTGTAGAAATTCAACTGGTAACTCTATTTTCCCTGTTGTCAGCCAGAAGATGTTGCGTTTTTATATTCTTAATGAATGGGTTCAAAACTCTCTGGAATCAATGCTGGGAGGATTTTTAAATAGATTAGGAAATTCTGTCTTCAAGTTTTAGTGTACATGTATGCTTTTTTTTAAGGTTATAATCTTGTCTATAAAATTTTGATATTTTTGTTCATCACAGATTTTTGCATTCATTTTGACTTTTTAAAATGGTCATCTTGATTACTGAGTTTTGGGGGCTCCCTTAAAGTGTACACCCAAGATGAATACCTCACTTACCTCATGGTAGTTCCAGCCTTGGGTAGAATACATACATTATTTTTGCATCAAAATCACATACTGAATGTTTCCAAATCTCTGATTTCAAAATGTCATCTCCACTACTTAATAAGATGACTTCTTTAGAGCTCATGCTAGAAGTAGACATGTCATCACTAATCTTGTCATTTTTGCTTATGCTTGCATTATGATCTCCAACTTATGTTTTCTTTCCAGAAATATTTTTTAGCTACTTTCATTTTAGTGAGGGTTAGTTCAATGAAATAATAATGTAATTAGGAAGTCTGCTTAGCCCTGAACACATAAACTAAAATAAATCACAATATATTGAAAGAAAGAAATTCAATTATTCTCCACCTTGCATAATTTGCACTTTTCACTCTAATAATGAGATGCCAGTGTAAGTCTATATAGTAAATTTTTGCAAAATATTTTATTTTTGTTCTTAGAAAAATGTATTTTTTAAAAGTTATAATATTTCTTTCCCATGATCCACTATATTTTTAAAAAGTTATAATATTTTCTTCCCATGATCCACCTTCACTAATTACACACTCTTCTCTTTAGAGGCCAGTGGCATGACTGTACTAGACACTGATTGATTGATCGGTATACAATAAGTATTTCTGAATTAAGAATATGACTGCATTAACTGATTAATAAATAAGTGAACAAATAAAGTGTATGGCTACTCTCCCTAGTAAGTGAAGTTACTGATATTACATAATATGTATTTATTTTATAGTTGCATTTTTACTTCAATCCTTACCTCTTCCATAGACTCCAAACTCATATATTCATTAACCTTTTTGATTACTCTAAATACCTCAAATTTAAGTTGACCTGAGCAAAACATTTGAATCTCAAGCTTCCCACTCCTTGATAAACTAAATTGATGGTGCAATCTAGTTTATCAAGCCAAAAAGTAGAGAACCTTCATCCTCTGAAATATATTCCAATCCAATCACTTTTTAAAAATATATTTTACTGCCGAAACCGGTTTGGCTCAGTGGTAGAGCGTCGGTCTGCGAAACTGAAAGGTCTCAGGTTCGATTCCAGTCAGGGGCATGTACATTGGTTGCAGGCACATCCCTGGTAGGTGGTGTGCAGGAGGCAGCTGGTCAATGTTTCTCTCTCATTGACGTTTCTAGCTCTCTATCTCTCTCCCTTCCTCTCTGTGAAAAATCAATAAAATATATTTTTTTAAAAAAGACTTGACCCTTTAAAAAAAAAAAAAAAATATATATATATATATATATATATATATATATATATATATCTGATTTTTATAGAGAAGAAGAGAGGGATAGAAAGTTAGAAACATAGATGAGAGAGAAACATCAATCAGCTGCCTCCTGCACACCTCCTACTGGGGATGTGCCTGCAACCAAGGTACATGCCCTTGACTGGAATCGAACCTGGGACCTTTCAGTCCTCAGGCTGACGTTCTATCCACTGAGCCAAACCAGTTTCAGCTGCCAATCACTTTTCTTTATGTCCACTGCTGCCCATTCCATTCCAATAATAAGCTTATCTTGCCTATCTATAATAATAAAAGCATAATAAGCAAATTGACCGAACAGCCAAACAGTGGAATGACCATCTGAACCACGAAGCTGGGGCTGCGAGGGCTGAGCCCCTTGCACAAATTTCATGCATCAGGCCTCTAGTACTATTATATGCAATTTTTTTTTCTAACTGGGCTCCTGGCTTTTACTATTATCCTCCAATAATTCATACTCCATACAGCATCTTTTTAAAACCCATATTCCTAACTATGGCCTGTAAAATCCAATGTAATCTAGCTGTCCAGCTTGCTCATTGTACTACCACTCTTCCTTTTACAACAATGACTCATCACTACGTCTTGATTTCTATTTTCTAGTTGTTCTTTTCTAGTGTCATCTTGTTATTTGGGCCTCTCAAATGTTACCTCTTCAAAGAGGACATCCATAGACATTCAGTCTAAGCTGGTTGTCATTAATGTATATCCTCTGTGCCTAGAACAGTACCTGGCACATAGTAGATGTTTAATAAATTTTTAAAAAATTAACAACCTTTTTACGGTGAGATTCACATTTTAAAAATGCTAGTACTGGTATAAATCAGAGGCTTGTTGCTTTTTCTTATAAATTACTTTGGCTTCTTTTTCTTTTTCCCTTCACTTTAAAATGTTCATAATATAGCCGAAACTGGTTTGGCTCAGCGGTAGAGCGTCGGTCTGCGGACTGAAAGGTCCCGGGTTCGATTCCAGTCAAGGGCATGTACATTGGTTGCGGGCACATCCCCGGTGGGGGGTGTGCAAGAGGCAGCTGGTCGATGTTTCTCTCTCATCGACATTTCTAGCTCTCTATCTCTCTCCCTTCCTCTCTGTAAAAAATCAATAAAATATATTTTTTAAAAATAAATAAATAAATAAAGTGTTCAAAATATAACTCAATCAAAACATGAAAAATGCATTACACAGAACCAGATTGGGGAACATTCTATGGGATACATGACTATTGTTCCTCAAGACAGTAAAGCTAAAACAACAACAGCAACAAACAAACAAAAAAACAATAAAACAATGAAAGAGAGAAATTGTCATAGACCAGAGGAGACTGGGAAGACATGAGAAGTAAATGCCATACAGTGCATGAATTGGATCCTGAAACAACAAGAGAACATTAATGGAAAAACTGGTAAAATCCAGATGGCTATTGGTG